ACTGAACACAATAATGGGGAGGAAACAAAAAGATTCCCTTCAGCACACTGACCCTTTTTATCTTGCAAATAAACTAAATGTTCATTATTCAAGATTTGACATCCATGACTTCAGTGATGAGATTGACTCTTTCTGTGCAGCCTTGACACCAACTCCTGTGGATTTACAGGAGAAAGAGGTAGTTTCAATTTTTCAGAACATCAATCCTCATAAAGCAGCTGGGCCAGATGGGATTAAGGGAAGGGTATTAAAAAATGTGCCACACAGCTGGGTCCTGTGTTCAAACAGATATTTGAGTTGTTCCTTAACACTAACTTTGTCCCACAAGCATGGAAAATGTCAACTATTGTCCCAGTGCCCAAAATAACACATACAAAGGCACTGAATGACTTCAGACCAATTGCCCTCACATCTGTATTATGCAAATGTATGGAGCGCTTAGTGAGCAGAGAACTCATGTCTGTTACAGCTGAGCATATGGACCCTTTGCAGTTTGCATATAGGACTAATCGAGGGGTGGAGGATGCCACTCTCTCCCTCCTCAACAAGGTCCATAATCATTTAGACAACCCAAAGATATTTGTTCGCATATTATTCATAGACTTTTCATCTGCTTTTAATACGGTTCAGCCACATATACTTCTAAAACGCCTATGTGATCTAAATGTCAGCAGCCATCTTGTGTTGTGGATTAGCAATTTTTTAAGAGGAAGACCCCAGCGAGTTTGTGTTGATAACACTCTATCTGAATGTACGGTCTTGAACATTGGTGTTCCACAGGGTTGCGTGCTATCACCGCTTTTATTGTCTATATACTCAAATGAGTTGCAACACAACAGTAAAGATTTCACATTAATTAAGTATACTGATGACATTGCCCTAGTTGCTGGTCTGAAAGACACCAATAGTCCCTCCTACTCCCAGCTCATAGATTAGCTCTCTATCTGGTTTGATGACAGGTTCCTGGCCCTTAATGTCAGTAAAACCAAGGAACTTTGTTTGGGAGGTAGATGGGGAGCAGCCAGCACCAGACCTACTTTTAGGCCTTCTATTATAAAAGGGCAGGAAGTAGAGCAGGTGACTGATTTTAAATACCTTGGAACAATAATTGACAACAAGTTGACCTTTGAACCCAACACCGACAATATTTACAAAAAAGCTAGACAGCGTTTCCACCTTCTGTATAAGCTAAGGAGCTTTAATGCAAGCAAAATTACTTTGCAGTTGGTGTACAGGTCACTGGTTGAAAGTGTTGTTTTATTTAATATTGTCTCATGGTATGGGAACCTCCTAGCCAGAGATAAGAACAAGTTGTCCCGGGTGGTCAAACAAGGTAGTAAAGTCATTGGTCATCAACAAATTATACTTACAGACCTGTACAGTCAGGTTCTGGAGAAAAAGGTAATCCAGGTTTACAATGACCCAACTCATCCACTGCAACCATTATTCAGGTTGGTACCATCTGGCAGAAGACTCCTGGTTCCTTTAGCAAAGAAAAATGGGTACAAAAAGTCATTTGTTCCCTCTGCGGTGAATGTACTTAACAAGGTCCTATTTAAACGCAGCCTCACATAACAAACTACTGTCTGCTGGGATGTTTCCATATTTTAATGTATTGTGTATTTTAGAATGGTTTTAACTGAATGTTTTTAATTGATTTAGCAAAGCTTGGTTTTAAGTTTTTTTTAGAGTTTTTAATCACATTTTTATTTAGTTTTATAAGCCAGATGTCAAAGACAAATCTCCATTTCATTGAATGTTATGGACAATAAAGTTGAATTGATTGATTGATTGAGTCTGAGTGGGCCATGTTTCGCACCTCACTTGTTGCCTTAAGCTGTGGCCGCAAGGTTGTTGGTACTTCTTGCGGTGGTCATCCACGAACTCGGTGGTGAACACCCCGGGTTAGGGAGGCGTCAAGCTGAAGAAGGAGTCCTATCAGGCCTTGTTGGACAGTGGGACTCTGGAGGCAGCTGAGGAGTACCGGAGGGCCAAACGGTGTGCAGCCTTGGCTGTTGCTGAGGCAAAAGCTCGGATGTGGGAGGAGTTCAGTGAGACCTTGGATAGAGACTCTCGGTCGGCTCCGAGGAGATTCTGGCAAACCATCAGGGGGCTGAGGAGAGGAAAGCAACACTTTAGTAACACTGTTCAGTGAAGGTGGGGTGCTGTTAACCTCAACCAGTGATGTCATCGGGAGGTGGAAGGAATTCTTCTCTGACCTTCTCAATCCCACTAGCATGTCTTCCATGGAGGAAGATGAGTTGGGGAACTTTGGGGTTGATCCGTCCATAATCGTGGTTGAGGTCGACGAGGTAGTTAAAAAGCTCAGAGGCAGCAGGGCTCCGGGAATGGATGAGATTCACCCTGATTTTCTTAAGGCTCTGGATGTTGTGGGGCTGTCTTGGCTGACACGCCTTTGCAACGTCTCGTGGACATCGGGGGCAGTGCCACTGGATTGACAGACTGGGGTGGTGGTTCCCCTCTTCACACAGGGGGACTGGAGGGTGTGCTCCAATTATGGGGCCTCACTCTCCTTAGCATCCCTGGTAAGGTCTAATCAGGGGTACTGGAGAAGCAAGTCCAATCGTTGGTCGAACCTCAGATCCAGGAGGAACAATGTGGGTTCCATCCTGGCCGTGGAACCCTGGATCAGCTCTTTACCCTCACTAGGGTCCTTGAGGGGTCATGGGAGTTTGCCCATCCAGTCTACGTGTTTTGTGGACTTGGAGAAGGCATTCGACCGTGTTTCTTAGAGTACACTGTGGGGGGTGCTCCGTGAGTATGGGATTGGAGACCCATTGTTACGGGCTGTTCAGTCTCTATACAAGCGGTGCGAGAGTTTGGTCCGCATTGCTGGCAGTAAGTTGGACCGCTTCAGGGTGGGAGTTGGACTCCGCCAGGGCTGCTCGTTGTCACCGATTCTGTTCATAACTTTTATGGACAGAATTTCTCGGTGCAGTCAGCTGGCGGAGGGTTTCCGGTTCGTTGGCCTCAGGATTCCATCTCTGCTCTTTGCAGATGATGTGGTCCTGTTGGCATCATCGTGCCGTGATTTTCATCTCTCACTGGAGCGTTGCACAGCCGAGTGTGACTCGGCTGGGATGAGAATCAACACCTCCAAATCTGAAGCCATGGTCCTCAACGGAAAAGGATGGATTGCTCTCTTCAGGTCGAGGGTGAGGTTCTGCCTCAAGAGAAGGAGTTCAAGTATCTTGGGGTTTTGTTCATGAGTGAGGGAAGAATGGAGCGTGAGATTGACAGACAGATTGGTGCAGCATATGCAGTATTACGGACTCTATACCAGTCCGTTGTGGTGAAGAGAGAGCTGAGCTGTAAGGCAAAGCTCTCTGTTTACCAGTCAGTCTACGTTCCTACCCTCACCTATGGTCATGAGCTCTGGTTAGTGACCGAAAGAATGAGATTGCGGATACAGGCAGGTGAAATGAGTTTTCTCTGCAGGGTAGCTGGACTCTCCCTTAGAGATAGGGTGAGAAGTTCAGTTATTCGGGACAGACTTTGAGTAGAACCGCTACTTCTCCACGTCGAGAGGAGCCAGTTGAGGTGGTTCGGGCATCTGGTAAGGATGTCCCCATGGCGCCTCCCTAAAGAGGTGCTTCGGGCATGTCCAACTGGGAGAAGACCCCGGGGAAGACCCAGGACACTATGTCTCTCGGTTGTCCTGGGAACGCCTTGGAATCCTCCCAGAAGAACTGGAAGAGGTGGCTGTGGAAAGGGATGTCTGGGCCTCCCTGCTCAAGCTGTTGCACCCACGACCCGACTTCAGAATAAGCGGAAGATAATGGATGGATAGATGAGCTAAACGTTCTAAAAAAGCACAGAATGTCATGATTTCAGCTGTCTGCCTCAGCTGCTACTGCAAGCGTTTTTGGTTACGCCCACTTCTCCACTCTGCACGGAGAACAGCTGATCAGCTGCAGCAGGAAGTTTATCATGCAGTATGGGCTGCACAAAGGTGCAGGAAGTGCTAAATAATTTAAAATAATTTATTTTTAATAAAAACTCCATGCCAATTGTGCAGCTCATCCATCAGTCAGCCAATGTGTGTCATGTCTAATCTTATTTTGAAAAACAGCAATAGAGTGAGTCCGTGATAAACGAACCTCCAAGTAACGAGGGACTACTGTATTCCAAAAATAAGGGTGGCAGGAAACACCAAAGTTCATGCTCAATAATCCAGTTAAAAATCCAAAAATGTTCAGTCAGGTCATCTGGACAGTTCTTCGGAAAAAAAAAAAAAAAAAAAAAACTGTCCAGATGACCTGACTGAACATTGTTAGGTGGCAGGAAAGGTGTGAACATTCAGAGATTCAAGACGGCATCAATTCACATTGTGTTTGTTTCCACGAAGACTAACCTTTAGTTTGGTCAAAATAAAACTTTTCTTTATCCAAACAGAGTATATTTAAAAATCCATCTCCCACAGGTAAAACACTAACTGTATATTTCCTGATGCATGCTCATGCAGCATGCTAACTGTATATTCTTCGCGAACATTTTGTGTAGAGTCAGAAGACAGCCCAAATGTTACTCATCTTCACTTCATAAAAATAGAATGGTCAATGTGCTGCACTGTTTCCAGCTTCAGGCTGGTGTCAGCATGTTGGTGGAGCTTCTGCAGAGCCCGCTGGACACGTTTCTTTTCTGAAAGCAAACTGCTGTTTCATCTTAAGGAGAATTCAGTCAAATTAATGTTGCTGATAGCCTGAGAGCTAAATTTAGACATCTTCATGTCCTGCCTATATGCTAAAATAAACCGATGTCTGTAAGTGCTTCACATTTAAAATACAGTCATGAAAGTGGAAAAAAGTATTGATTTAGGTTTCAGTGTGGGAGCAAATGGTTATGTCAAATTAGTTGTTAGCAATTAACACCTACAATGTACTAGATGGAAAGGTTTTTATCTAAATGCAAAATCTATTTATGTAATGTATAATTTATATCTAACGCACTGATTTTCATGTGTTGTTCTGCTCTGTCAGATGGTCCACTGGATTACAGTCAGCTGCCGGAGTCACTGCGTTATATTAAAAGAAAACAAGGAGCTTTGAAATGGAATAATGTCTTGGTTGGAACAAATAAACTCACTACATTCTACTCAAAAAGAAACTTTTGGAAAAATCTACAGTATCACATGCCTGCGGTGCCTGTAAGAAGACTTCACCCTGTTCCTTAAAGACAAAAATAACTTTTAATTTAACTTACAGTAAATGCTTCCTGGCAGGATCTGGTTTACACTGGGACATTCACCCCTCCTTCCTGGAACACTGTTACTAAATTTTTAGACAGTTGGAGACCAAATGTTTAAGCTGCCTTTATTATTACTCGAATAATTTTAGTAATACTGATTTTAGTGAAGCAAACAGGGTTGACTGTTTTGCTCATCAGTTTTGTTAAATTGTGAAAGTCCAAAACTCTTTGAAACAAAACAGAACCATATTTAACTTTTTAACTTATTTAGTTTATTATGCACCAGTATGTCTCATGTATGTATGGAAGAAAAAGATTAAAACTTGGTGTTTAGGATAAGTTGATGTTTGTGTCAGTTTCCTTCTTAGCCCAATATGTTACCCTTGAATGTTTCTTTTATACTGTATACTTTGTCTATTGCATTATTTTATTATGGTTTGTATGTTTCTGGAACTGGTATGGTTGTCTTCTTGGCTAGGGCTCTCTTGAAAAAGAGATCTTGTAATCTCAGCTGGACTCACCAGGTTGAAGGTTTTAAAGAAAATTACGAGATAAAGTAAAAATGTTACCTTAAAAAAGTTATGGGCACAAAAACTAATTTTATTGACTACAAGCAAATTTTTAGATGCATGTATTTTAGCATATAATGCTAACATAAAACAATTATATTTTAAATATAAAAACCCTCCACAGATACACCATAATACCAAGTTACATCATATTGACACAACAGTAACAATATACAATTTGTAGCTACGCTATGCTAACACTGTCTGCACTACCACTGTATCCACCTTATTCCTAGCCCCCATGATGCCTTGAATGAATTATGCATGCGACTTCTGGTGCGGACCAGAACCGGCATTTGTTTATGTGTGAAAAGAATGAGCTAATGTAGTTTCTCTGAGCATTGTGGCTTTAATTTAAAAATGCAGGAACACCACCTGTCAGAACTCAAACAGGACAATATACATTTTTTCCTCACTGGCTTTGTAACGAGGCGCACACATTTCCTCCCTCTCTCTGTTCTCCTCCTGCTTTTTTGCTCTCTGTCTTATCAGAGCAGCTCCTATTTTTTACACATCTTCCTAAATGAAAACTACTGTTTTGGATCTGACCAACTGGACTTGCAACGTAAATGACAAAATATTTTCAACAAAGCGACAGGGTCCTGAAGAACTCTCATCTGCTCGGACAACACGCATGCAGCTGGATATATCTCTGGAGACGTGGAATGTGGTGTGTCTACCTCTGCTGTTGATCAAGGACGCCGAAATCGCATATAATTGGATTCATGATAACAGGTTTCCTGTTTTTGGAATAGTATGATTCTTGGTTATCAACATACAAAGTAGACAGTCGCAGCTAAATTGGCCCTTGTCAGGATGCTGCCTATGTGATGGTTGGTGCGTGCTTTGAGGACTCAAAATCAGCTGATTTACAAGCTAAACCGTAAGATGGAAGTGATTTGAATTGTAGGCCACCTGTGGTTTTGGAACTCGTCAATATGAAAAATATCTCCTACCCACAGCATACTACTGAATTAACTCCTTTTGCTCTCTACAAGGAAATTTAGGGTTTTTCAAGGTGTGAACTTGATATATTTATCCACAGAGTTGATGTGGTCACACGAGAAGATGTAAAAAATGGCAGGTTGGTTTTCTTAGACTGTGAGGTCTCAGTCTCTGATAGAGGACATTTGCAAACTGAGGTGTACCGCAAACCCACACACACAGACCAGTATTTGCAGTTTGACTCCCATCACCCTTTGGAGCACAAGTTAGGAGTCATCAGGACTCTGTATCACAGAGCAGACAGCGTCCCCACTAGCTCAGGAGCCAGGCAGAAGGAGAAATCCCACACAAGACAGGCTCTAGAGCAATGTGGATATCCTAACTGGGCCTTCCTGAAAGCAGAGAAGAAACCCAAACAGGACTCCAGTCAGCCAACAGGTGAAAAGGAGGAACCCAGACCCAGACCAGTGGTCATTCCATATGTTGAGGGAGTATCAGAGAAACTGAGACGTTTATTTTCTAAACATAACGTCCCAGTGGCTTTTAAACCCCAAAATACATTACGGCAAAGACTGGTTCATCCCAAAGATCCAGTCCCCCGGCACAAACAGAGCAATGTTGTGTATGCTGTTCAGTGTCAGGAGGGCTGTGATCAGTCTTACATCGGGGAAACAAAACAGCCACTGGCCAAAAGGATGGCCCAGCACAGAAGATCAACATCATCAGGCCAGGACTCTGCGGTCTACACTCATCTCCAGGCCAGCGGTCACTCTTTCAAGGATGAAGATGTTCACATCCTGGACAGAGAGGAACGATGGTTTGAGAGAGGAGTAAAGGAGGCCATCTTTGTGAAAAGAAATCGTCCATCATTAAACAGGGGTGGAGGCCTACGTGTTCAA